GTGCTAAACTATTTAAATCAAGTATTTTAGAGAGAATAAAATTTTTATAATAAACGTTTTTCCACTAAGAATATAATGCTCGTATAGAAAATACTATAACTTATTATTAACATAAGATAAGTAATTTTATTTGTTAACACGTGTTTTTAAAATCTGCAAAATATTCATGTCATTGAATGCTAAAAAAGGTTGTTTTAAGCGCAACAACGATGAATATTCTGTGTTTGAAGAAACAATAATAACAAAAAAAGGAGGGTATGCTAACTACATATGACAGTGTTACTTTTCTTTTAGGACGTATTCAATAGGGCTTTCATTAAAACTCAAAAAACTGATGTTTTTTTTGTACGCATAAGTCGAAATATGTTTTTCCAAACTTATATAAATTAGCATAAAAGTCAAGCAGGGAATTTAGATATTGGTGTAGTGTCGTAAAATAATATGTAAAGAAAAAAATTCTAAAGTAATGTTTCAAATAATTATCCCTAGTTTCTTTTAGTAACTGGGAAAAATTTTGAAAGTAACACAATATTGAAATTACACATCCTTTCAAAAATTAACTATTTTTTATTGTCCGCCATGTGGCTTTGCTATAAAAAGAAACAAACTTTTATTGTATAAATATTTCACTGAATATTTACCGTAAAGTAAGATGTGTTTTAATCCTCGGGCATTTTTCTTCCAATTCTATTTTTATTTTATCCTCTTGAATTTCTGAGAAAGCACCCCAAGAAAGAATATTTACAGAGGAAAGTAACTTCAATATTTTGCCTTATAATACATTACTTATTAATTCAGTTTTTCTTCAAAAAAATATCATGTCTTCTCCACGACTGTTATTTTGGAAATAATAGAAATAAGCATTAAACCAGGTTAGAATCACATTAACTTGTTAAAATAAACGGTTAAACACCCAAACCTTTAAAATATCTTTTAACAAGTCTCTTAAAACGATTATCTTGAAACAATGTCTATTTTAAGAAGACCACATGTTTTAGACATTATTGGGCTTTTTCAGTGGTACCCTTATATTGTTTTTTTTTAATCTAATATTACCAGTTCTAAGAAAGTAAAGATCAAAATATGTTTACAGAAATACTACACAGCTCGAGACAACTAGTCGCCATGATAGTATAAAGTTGACACACAATTTGTAGCAGTTTCTAGATAAAATGAATTCAAATTTACTAGCAGACATGATAATATTGATTCAAGCTCAACAAGCTGTTTTCATGATAACACTGACTTGTTTTAAATGCAAAATCACATCAAATACTTGCCGTTTAATATCTACCAATAAAATACGCAAGTACCATTTTCAGCGTTATACTAACCCAGCGTAAAAGATTCATATCTAGTTACTAATGTCAATGGTCCCACAATGTCAACGGTACGATTATGTCTAAGAGTTAATTTTTAACACAAGGGAATATATCTATATAACTTTATAGACCTAAGCAAGAGGATTATGAATTGGGAAAATGTTATCGTAATTATTAATTCTCTATTAAGATATGTTAGTTTATATTAATATGTAGACGTTATCAAAGTTCTATAGCATACTCTTGAACGTAAGTAATTTCTTCCTTGCAGAGCTTAACGCAACCTTCAATTTAAACACGCTTGTGAAAATATCCACTGCTAGTGAGAAAAACAAGAACAACAACGATATATTGTGATCATTCTTTTTCTGAACACGATACATGCCATACCCATTTTGTTATATATACAGTATTATTTTAATGTCCGTTTTATATTCTACATTATTGTTTTAAAGCATTTCTAGAAATAAGTTAAGTTAAAAGTGTTGAATATCTTCTATGTTGAACTTGGTGGCTTTCAATGGCTTCTCTGAGAACAGAAAATATGGCTGGTTATTAGAACTGGTCACTTGTTATGTTCTCGATATACTTATTGCGATAAACGATTTATCTCTCAAGAATATTACCGTTTGCTTAAAAGTCAACTTTCTCTGTTAATATTCACAGCAATATTCCTAATATGGATCAATAAATCCGAATTAGCCAACTTTATTCTAAAATAATACTTGAGAATTAATCAGTTACCCGAAGCTTTCATAAGTGTTGCACTGTATAGCCGAGAACCATTTTTGTTTTTCTGTAGCAGAACAAGTAAAAATATGAAAAAAAAACTTTAGCAATTGATTTATTGATTCTTGAAATTGGTTTTTCGGAGAGCACTTAGCTTTTTGTGTACAAAATGCAATTAGTTATTTATTTTATTATCAGTTTCTGTTACTATATAGCAACTATTACTAGCAACTAATTCCGTTAGCCCTTGGTTCCTAGTATTGTGATTGAAACAAACAACTGATTTCGAGAGTATTCAGTTCCTATCGTTGTGAATAGAACTACTCATTCGTTCGAAATAGTTTCTACGTTCTGATGTCAAGTGCAGAAGTATTTAGTTCCTAGTGATCTAAATGTAAGTAGAGGATCATTACTAAAATAGTTAGTTCTAGCGTCCTAAATGCGGTTTCGTAACCTAGGGCTCACTGTAGAAGTGCTCAGCTTCTATCATTCTAAATGTAACTAGGAGCTCATTTCGAAAGTACTTAGCCCCTAGTGTTCTAATGATGACTTATTCAGGAAATAGCTTTTTTGACAGCCGAAATTATTCTTTACATGATATGCGTAATTAGTCAGTGGATCCACTATGTAATGGATTACAAATGTATGCTCAGGTATAAAAATTTGAAGACGGATTATGAATGGGAATAAAATTCATCAGTTTTATTCTTTCTATGTGTTATTGAAATGTGACCGAAACTTTTGAAGAAAAGTTAACATTTTTCAGCCTGCAACAACAAAAAAATTACGAGATAAAGTGAATCCTAGTAGATTTTTTAAAAGTTGGTCTCGATATTTTTCACCTCGGTGTTGCACATAATAAATAAATAAAAATAAACGAATAAGAAACCGTTAGTAGAAAACAAAGTGTTAGTCTTATACCACAAAGCATAATGTTAGTAGAAAACAAAGTGTTAGTCTTATACCACAAAGCATAATGTTAGTACGATAAAAAATATTTCCATGTAAGTCTTCATTAGATAGTTTACATGGCGTCTCATGGTTGAACGACTCTACCATAATACGTCGCGTGTTAGTCTTATACCTCAAAGCATAATGTTAGTACGATAAAAAATATTTCCATGTAAGTCTTCATTAGATAGTTTACATGGCGTCTCATGGTTGAACGACTCTACCATAATACGTCGCTGGCCTGTCGATGTCCATGTAAGTCTTCATTAGATAGTTTACATGGCGTCTCATGGTTGAACGACTCTACCATAATACGTCGCTGGCCTGTCGATGCATTATGCTTTGAGGTATAAGACTAACACTTTGTTTTCTTAAATAGTAAAACGTGTGCTTCATTTTCACAACCGGTAACTAAAAAAATGTAAACAACCCCATAATAAAACTTCAACTTTATAGCCCATTTCCATTTCCAAGCTACATATTTATTCATCCTGGACAGTTCTGCACAAGGAAAATTTAAGAAAATAAATTACGCTCATTGAAAGTGACAATAACAAGCTTAATGATGATCATCATGGTTTTGCTGCTTTGTTTGTGGACTAAGAAATATGTGATGTGCTGTTGATATCTTTTTGAAAGAATGCAGTAAGTTTTGGTAAAAGATGGAGACTTAATTTTCGATCAGAGGTAATTTGTGATGTATTCATTTCGTTTTGAAAGTATACGAACTGAAGTAAGAATAAACGTTTCTGAAGCAGGAACGGCATTTTTTAGAAGACACAGCGTATTAATGATAGGCTTAGACATTTAACGACCTCTACACTGTAACTATACTGTAACAATTTGAAGTCTCGTACACTAATTATAGTAGTAGTTATTAACATTTATGTTGACATTTTTCTGTGATTTATAAAGTGTATTCTGCAAAAATATCTACGGAGAAAATGATATCTATGTACTGAAAAGTAAAATAAACCCTTGAAATACAGAGTAAAAAAGTAAAAATAATATAAGTAAAAAAACGTATTTGTCATCCATTACGTCTCTCAATCAAAGTCATCTATCTTCTGTAAATGGAGGTTTCTTCGAACATATTTCCTACGATGATTATGTTCGATAAGAGAGCAGCGACCGGTTGGATTCACAAGTGGTACTTTAGTTATACTGTAGAAAATAACTTCGAAGATCCTTTGTGTTAACACTATACTCAGTTTCAAATATTGAGCTTTACTCCATATATTTCACTGTTTGGTGGAATACGTTTGTCAAAAACGTGAAATTGTAATATAGCTATACGTTCCTAAATATTGTCTATCCTGTTAAAGTTTTCTACTGTTGTAACCATCTTGCATGTCTGATTATTCCTCATATAACAATACATCGGTCGGATGAAAATTTCATCATCCAGAAAGGCTGTCTATCTACGTCACAGTATCTCTAAAATAGTGCCCACCTTATCCTCTTTGAAGCTATCTGATATATGTGTCATGATAAACTCTTCTTTCCAATAATGGGACGATAGTAAAGCCAACATCTTATTCTGTTTGCTTCATCTGTGTTTTTTATGGCTTCTAGGATTAAGTCATAGTGTCATCAGGCCTGTTTCATGTACGTATACTTACTTTCACAGTATAATAAGTCATAGTGTCATCAGGCCTATTGCATATACGTATACTTACCTGTATATTTACATGTTAACAAATGAATTATACAGTATTTTTCGAAAGAGTTTAAACTAAACGAAAAGGTTTTCAAACAAGGTAATTTCGTGCTGTTGTATTTATAATTGATATTCAGCTTGCAAGCTGAAACACGTCTCCAATTGTGTTTAGTGAAAGAAAAAAGTTTCTGGTGGAAATCTGTCATGATTGTCTTTTTTTCTTCTTACATAATCAAGATAAACACTCCTGTGCTGAAAACCAATACATTCTGTAAGATATCTATGTTGTGCAAAATAATGTGAAAATAAATATGTATAACTCGGTCTTGTCACGGTACTGAATATAAATCTATTTAGTTCCTTAGTTGTTATACAGATAGACACTGGAAACCTTGGCCTCTTTTCATATACTTCTTAATAAGTCATTGTTAGGTAAGTTGGTGACATGTAAAAAATGGTGGAAGAGAACTTCAACAGTGAGGGCGACATTCACACTTGATGATAAACATAACAGGCTTCATCATCACATCTGTTGTTGATTCATCCCTGTAGCATTGAAAAGGAACTTCGACTGTAGTGGATAGCTTGGGCGTACAACAGTCTTTTCCTGAGCAATAACCACAATACTTGGGACGATAGCGCTTAAGACTGATACAGTTGTGACCATCGCTGAGATGGATGAAGTCTGGATTTCGGACTGTAGCACGACAGTGTTGATGGTGCTACAAGATTTGAAGAGATTATAAGGTAAAGCATACATACATTTAATAACATACCAATTTAGTTTACAATCTGTTTGTACCTTCTTCATAGTAATGAGAGACCACTGCGTTTTGTTATCGTATACCTCTCTATTAGGGTTAAATTTAACGTACACAACACTGTGAATCACTCATTCCTAGTGTCGGAAAATACACTCTGTCTTATATAATCAACGATAAAATTAATTATATGCATATACTAGTTACGTATTTTGTTAAACATAAGAAACCAAATCATAATGATTGACAAGCATATTGTATATATATATAAATAGCCTAAATACCTTATTGGCAAAGGTAGCTCGTCATATTAATGAGCAGTTGAAAGGTAAATCTTAATAAAGACGGCGGTAAGCTATTAAACTCACTTTTTTTAATTAAGTTTTTACGTAAATAATTAATACTGAAATAAAAACTTGAGAAATGTTTTTGGTGAAGATTAGAAGTTGTGATCTAGATCGACAAACCTTGACCAAAACAGGCAATTTAAATAACTGAGGAAACAGATAAAATAGATGATGCTCTTAACACTAAGTAAAGAAATTACTACAGACCTTGTTAGTTGAACAAACATATAACGTTCAATATTATATAACAATAAATAAAATATCTAAAATATATCAGAAAAACTCAAAGTATAATATTCATCGAAGAATGAAATAAAGTTCATGTTTGATCAAGTACCCAAACAAACTTTACCAAAAGTTCATCATATCAGTATCAGATAATATCTAATTCCTGGTTCATGATGGACCTTTTGAAAAACAAAAATAAAAACTAATCCTATCGAAAATTTATTAACATCAATAGTCTTAAAATAAATTCTAAAATGCAATAAAGGAGCCAGGCCGACATATTTTAGGTATTGTAAACATAATTTCAATTTCTTTCGCAAAATGAATTTTTATTCCCAGTCGATAATTTCTAGCTTATTTCAGGGACTGAGTTGTGTAGTTCTCTGTTGTGTTGAGGACAGCTAGTTTTTAATAGTCAGTTATGTAAGGTTACTTCAAGAAACACTTTATTGGAACTGTGATATAATAAACTATTAGGCTTATCGAATATACAAATGAAATAAAAAGGAATAATCCGTAATGTATCGAACATACAAAATCCAGAGAGAGTGAGAACGGAGGATTAAAACATAATCCGAACGAAACGAATTCTATTCTATTTAGCACTCGTAGAAAGGGAACGCGACAAAACTGAATGCAGAAAACAACATTTTTTTTAAAGCATCACAATGAAGTTTCGTATTTTCCAATGTTTAACGTGCTGATAGAAATTAGTGATTTTTTGTTTAAAATAAATAAAAGGATGAAATAAAAAATATACAATTTAACACGTTGATAATCGAATTTTCTGGTGTCATAACGTACATATGCAGTTGTTGTTAACACGTTGAATCTCGAGCTTTCTAATGTTGTAACGTGAAAACAAAATGATTGATTTTATTTACAAAATTAAAATAACGTTATCAAAACCTAAAATGTTGAAATGAATCTTCCCTTACTGTATTTTACTGATGTTTCTACAATGGGTTCAAAATGAAAACTTTCTATAGCTTATTTAAAGAGTAGATTTTATCCAGAAATCTAAATAGAAAGAAATAACATCCTAGATGTGGTCACCTCGACCAAAACTTTAAAGAATTTATATGCTTAAAATTTCTCAGCTTTATTTGGGTTGCAAGAAAAAAAAAGAGACGCTTTAATGCTTTGATAATGAAAACAATTCATGAAGATATGTAAACATAAAAGGATTAAAAATGTATTTCAATGTTTATTTTATCCTTAGATGTTTAAGGCAATTGCAGTGTAAAACGTTGTATAATGTTGTAAAGTCTTTTTCATTGGCGTTTTCTTTCTATTTGGCGTATAAATAACACAAGTATTGTATATTAGTTTTCTTTTAACATTGTGATCACGCCTTCCGTTTAAGTTCACAACCACTAGTTTACATGAAAAACTCACAAAGCTATATCCAAAAATGGGCATTTATGATGTTGCAAATAAAGCAACTGAAATGTATAACCAAACCGATCCCAGTAAACATGCGTAACAATGGAATGAACAGTGTATTTAATGTTAAATAATACAATACTTTTTGATGGTTTTAGAATATTGGTGTTTGAATAGTCTTGAAGTTTTTAACTAAGCAACATTTTAAAAACAGATTCTAATATCTTCACTCTTCTACTCTTGTCTTCAAAATATAAAACTTTTATGATATCTACCTCTATGGCTATAGCTAATTGTGTTTTAATGCCATATTGCCCGTTTTCTACGACTGCAAAATTAACAATATATTTTCATTATTTGTATTATACGAGTTATTGAAGGTTTTTATTACTATACCATTAAAAAAAAACACTACATATCACGTGGACTGATACCATACTCACTCGTCTACTGCGAGAGCTGCGATTGGATGTAACATCACCAATTGCATGGTTACAAGGTTTCAACTGACACAAACGAGTCTCGTTTTTCAATTCACAATCGTCGTTATCGTTGGTTAGTCTTCTAGACGAGCCTATGCCACATGGTATTGAACATGGTGTCCAATTGGTAGAATACCGGTTACACGTCACTTTTATATCTGAAAATGTAACATTTCTGTAAATCACACTTGCTATTTGTTTTAATGAATATCTCTTACAAATAAAAATAAAATAAAATTTAAAAGAAGAATTGCAGTTTACCACATAGCAAGTAGTGCAATATTTCACACTTAAAAGTTCTTATCACACTTCTAATGGATCACAAATACATCAACAACGTTCAACAGGTAGACGGTACCAAACTAAATATATCACGATTAACTTATTTTCTAGTTGTTTTCTTGAGCCATTCAGATCTTCCAGTAAGAAATTATTACCAATCGAGCTTTCTTAGAAGGAGGAACTTATTCAAAGCATTTCATTGGACATCGGCTTACTTTGAAGGGAAAAGAAAATTCTAAGGGTTGCCTATGAAATAGGTTATCTAGCTTTGGGCTTTGGTACGTTATATTTATAATATACCTGGTATATATTTCAGATTTGTTGAAAAATTCACTTTCCCCCCACAAAACACATTACTTTCATTCCATGCCAATTAAGTTATCATCAATACCAGTGCGAATATAAACAATCCTATTAGCTATATGATTTTGGATGACCCAACAACAAAAACGAAATGTCCCAAGCTGTTGGAAGTTTTTAAGGATCGCTAATTACGAATAAACTAATAAAGTTAGATCATATTCTTAATGGCTGAGAATTAAAAACCTAAACAGATACAAATGAGCTGTGGCCATGTGCTTGAAACATGTAGTGTAAAATAACATGCATTGTGATCTTAAATTTAAAAAAGGCCAGATAACTTTTAATGATTAAAGATGAAACAATCAGGGCGAATAACTCGTAAAGTAAATATTTAAAGTAGAAAAATCAATAACGAAATAATTCGAAAGCCTTATTCCTAAACTTAAATAAGTGTTGATTCAGTTCTGAAATACTCCTCGATTGAGACTCCCAGAAAGGGTTTTTGTGTTTATATAATATACTTTCTCTTGGACCTATACAACCACCTACCTGGTGACCTGTGAAAAGACAGGTTCGTGGTGATTAGTTGGGCCTGGGCCACTCTACTTTGCCCTATAATATATGTAGACGGATGGCCCTGCGGTGGCTTAACCACAATCGACTAGTCTATTCAACTTGATAGAAGTAAACTGAGCACTGAAGATGTATTCTCTTTACGGGCGTATCAGACAACATGTCCAATGTTATTGTTTCGATATAGTTCCCATGAAATACTGTTCTGAATACACTGCCCATGTTTTGACAGTTATAACACACCCTTATAGGACTTCATGGTGGATGGAGCCATTAGTAACTGGATTTTCTCTCCTTTTCTCATTTATAAAAAAAAACTAAGAACGAGGTAATAATCACGCCCAGATAACTCTGATAAGATACCACCATCTCCTCAACCTCTTGTACCTTGGTTTCTGATTTTGCATAATTTTTCAGAAATATATCTATCTTTTTATTTATTTATTTTTCATACGAAAGGGTATAGAAAGGATTGCTGGCACTACAAAGTCAGTAAAGAAACAAATATATGGGGTCCTGCTGGTCAAAACAAAATGACCTCAAGAGAGTGAACTCCTGAGGATGACGTTGCAACATGTAGAGTCGTCAACATTTTGAAGGCCATAGATAGGCCTAAATAAAATGTTTTTAATTGTGTACCAGTTTAACGTTGAATATTATTTATGATTTTAACTTTATACACAAGTGCCAAAATACTATAATTAGAATGAACTCCTTTTGAAAGCGAAGGTCATCTCTTACAGTACGTTGAGAGATATGATCAAGAGTAACATTTTTAATATCCCGTATTGAAGACTATTGCTGAATTATCTAGTTAAGGATATCAGCTGTTAAACGAAAGTCCACTTGGAAGAATATAATATATGAGCTGATTATAGTACTAATTTTATTTTGCTACACCACCTGTCAATGTAAAATGCACGATTAGGCTATATGTTCTAAACTTTTTCCAATGTTTTTAGAGGTATAAAAAAGCGTTTGGTCTGGTCCCTTTTTATGCACGACATATCTAAGTTTGTGGCCAAAGAAATATATCATGCTCTGGCATTGCATTGTATGTAATTATAGAAAAACAACATTATTTTATAAACAACTAGCCGGGTTACCCATTCTACATGAGAGGGACATTTAACTTTACAAACTAAATACTATATTTAATTACCTAATAACGCGTGTTATGTCAGCTTATTGATTACTTGATTCCCCTTCTTTACACTTCGACCACTCTTAGTGCAACAAACTAGTATTTTGTACTTGATTTCCTTTGCAGGTCAATAATTTATCATTTCTCACTCAAGCCTTGGCTTTGGCTAGGCCACTGTGTTCTTATTGCTGCTGTCGCCTTAGATTCACAGTCTGTACTAGATGCAGACAAAAGGACCATAAAAGCAATGGGTATCAACCAGAATCACACAGCAAAATGAATCCCACCTCTCGTATTTTAGATCATGTCACAAAGTTATTTGAGGGAAAAAAGAGGTTCCAAAAACAAAACTATTTTCATAGTATCATTTACCATGAGGCAAGGAAGATGGTTACACGTCTGATACAGCACAGTTATGATACTGTACTTTGTTCCATTGCTTCTGTGTGGATGCAAACATATCCAAACACATCAGGTTTATCATCTTTCACGGACAAACAGGTGAATAAATTCATATCTATTACAGTTAGTTTCATTATAGCAGGTTGTGTGATGGATGGGTTTATGGAGGAGACACATATTGGTTGACCAGCATATCCCTCCTATGCCAATGCAGCAGACACTTCACAATACACAACGGATTTTAAATATTTCCATAGCCCAAAAACTGAGTGATAAAGCTCTTCATCTTTATCAATTTTGAATATTAGACAGTTTTAGTTGAGCTGCTTATCACATCATCTCAAGGATGCAGGCCAATTTGAACACCTATTCCCCAGTAGTGGTAAGTCTTAAGGCTTATAACACTGAAAACTGGGAACTGATACTCGTGATGGGCAAAGCGCAGATAGTACATTATGTAATTTTGCGCTTAGCAACAAACAAACAGACGTTGAGCAGATAGCGCGCTCTGTTGACTACTTCAGATGAATATGGATTTATATTCCCTATAATTTCATTGGTATATCTACCAAGAACTATTTCTTTATGACGAATAATATTTATGTTATTGATACTTAAACACCCCAAGACACTTTCCAATAGCTCTGTATATTTTGATCTTAAAAAGGCTTATCACACTATGAGGAAGTTAGATATTTTATGGTTTTGTTATTTGTTAAATTTAGCACAATGATGCACGAGGGATATCTGCGCTAGCCATCCTTAGTTTAGCAGTGATAGACTAAAGCGAAGGCATTTACTTATCGCTACACAATACCAACTCTTCTCTTGCACCTATGGCCTCAAAATGCAGAGCGGTAAATGGACACAAACCATAGTGCCTCAGATCAACAGTTCAGAACGCTGATCACTGGGAAGTATTAGTATTCTTTGGCTTGAAATAGTCGCATGCAACGGCTTCAAGTGACACTTTGTAATTGAAAATCCTAGGTCGTATTTTGTAGGCCGGAATCTTTACAGTAGGTGTCTGTGACTTATTTATGACCATAAATTTCGACAATAAAGAAGGAGCACACAGTCCACTTGTTTTAAAATGACAAATCAAAACAAGTCAAACGTATATAAAAATGTTCGTTACACTGTTGGTTATCACAGTTGTATCCAGAACTTTAAATAATTGTCTCTATTTCATCAACGTCCACAGAGGCTGGTTCAATTACGTTAGACAATTGACAAGACGAATTATTCTTCTCTGCTCTGTTATGGCAGTACAATTTGTGATATTTTAACTTTAAAAATCGCCACAAAAAAACTCTTTATCGCTAAACTCACAATCACGCAGTCTAGATCTAAATAATAATCTTTCGACGCGTATTTATGTTCCGGCAGAAGTCTAGAGCATTCCACGCAATACTAGATATTCTGATGCAATAATACTCAATTAGAACAACGAGAACATTTCAGAAAGTAACATGACAACAGTTGATGAGGAGCTTCATCGATGGAAGACAAGATGGCTTTTTATACCTTTCCAGGATATGCCTCAGATACTGGCTGTTTCCTTAAAAGCGTGCTTCAGTGTACCAAATATCTTTATGTTACTGAAACTCACTGCCATTAAGTTCATGTTCATATGAACGTTCGACATCTGTTCTCCGTCAATTGAATAATTACCTGAGTTGTACACAAACCGAAGAAAGACTGAGTGATCTAG